GGTTGGTACATCGTGGCCACCAAGCCCACCCCTCATCCCAACCCTGCACCACCACTGTTGCACAGATCATCGTCAGATGCAACACAAGGTAAAAAAGAAACAAAAGCCGGGTCCGCAGCACTTCCCAAGCCCACCAAGACCCATCATCTCTATCAAGAGTTTAGGATAAACAAGCTCAAGTGGCAGCCAGGGCTTGAGATGCTTGGGTTTAAGCACCACAAAAGCTTTCATGTTACATTTCTAAGGTGCTTTCAAGGCGGCAGCTCCATTAGTGTCACATCCATAAAACGACCAGAGCCACTTGTTTATTATCACCTATCAGCCCAGCAGCATCTGTGGGGACAAACTTATGCAGGTCAGAGGGAACCTCAGGATCCCTTACACCACCCTCTGCTCATGGTAGGGTCAACGCTGAATTCAGACCCGGCTACTTCATGCCTTTGTCCAGCAGAACCTGGAAAGCTACCGAGGATGGAGATCACAGACCCTTTCTGGGCAGGCGATCCTATGCGTAGACCAGCCCTCCAGCCTCTCCCCTTGTGTTTACCAAGACGAGAAGGGGAAGGAAGCCTCTCAGACAGAGCCTGAGCCCTTTTAATTGGCATCGGTTGAAAGAAAGCACCAATTAAGCCACACTGCCCCAGTTCTCAGGCCAGCAAAACACCCTGGGCTGGAGACAGCCTTGTGAAACACAGGCAGCAGCATGTTTATACACACAGCAGGAGAAAACCAGGCAAAGCTGTGCCAAGCCCCAAGAAGTCAACGCTTGCAAAGTCTCCTACATCACTCAGCATTTCAGCCCCAGGATCCCAATACCTGGAAGCAACTAATTTCTACGCACCCCAAGAGAATCTTCTTTTAGAAGCGGGGTAATAATGCTGATAAAGCTGGAAAGCAGGGATTTTAGAAATTTTTTTTTTGCTCAAGTTGCAGGAGTGTTAACCATCCCATCCACCCCAAAACCTGCAACAAGAGGGGGAGACAGGAGCAGAGCGTGGTTACGTAGCAGTTGAGACAGCTGACTGGCCTTGTTAATAGACTAGTTTTTTATACCTCCTTGACAGCTAAACCAGAGGAGTAAGATTAGAGTGGCCTCTTCCATCAAGGGCATCTCTTCCCTGGGGTTGTGGGCAGATTAACATCAATTTCAAGGTCAGGGCAACCCATGTGGCCAGCACCAGGAGATGGATAAGCATCCTCGTGGTTACCAAGAACAGGGTAAAGAAGCTGGTTCCAGTGGAAAACCTTTTCTTTGAGTTTTGTTTGGTTTTTTTGTTTTTTTTTTTTGTTAAAATTGAGCTGCATAGGAATAACACTGGAAACCTGGAAATTTTTCCTCTGCCTCCCATCTCTTGGAAAGCACGAGCAAGGCCAGGGGACAGAGGAAGGGAGAAAGCAGCGACGTTTCTCCTTCCCACTGGAAAAACTCCCACCGCACGCTCCTGGACACGCAACACTGAATTGACGATACTTGGCAAAATGGGGCAGGCTGGAATGAACCCAGCTCAGGGAAAAGCTGCTGTGGCCATATGCTAACGCACACCACCAAACCCAACCACCCTGCACGGAGTCACAGACCTGTTTAGGTTGGAAAAGACCTTTAAGATCAAGTCCAACCATTAAACCAGCATTGCCGGGTCCACCACTTCATTGTTTGCTTTTCTGTTTTGCAGAAGCAAGAGGAGATTCTGGGGTTAAAAGTGCTAGCACAAAAGAAAGCCACAAATTTTGATCATAAAACCGGGTGGGGGTGGGGGGAAATAAAATCTGATTTTTTGAGCAAGCACGTGGTACAGCCATACATGAGGCTTTGGGAATGCTGAGAGCCATGCAGCTTCCAGGGTGGTCAGTCTCTTGGTTTGCTGCAAGAGCACACAAGCTTTTTACTGGGAAAAAAATAATAAAAAAATAACAGAAAGTAGAAGACTGAAAGGAGAAGCTGGTGGCTCTGGATTTCGGGCACTGTCCCACAGCAGCCGCCACTCTCCCTCTTGCCCATCTCCTCTACCAGAGAGCGCCAGAGCCACGGCTGGCATTTTGGCAGATGAGCTAATAGATGAGGACGTGCTCCTTCTGCTCGTTTAGCTCCCAGCCCACACTTCGTTAGCCATGGCGGCAGCGTTACAGCCCTCACTTAATTGCTGGCCCGCGCTGCAGCGCTGGCACCCCGCACACGTCACCCCGAGCCCGGCTCCTACCCAGCTTCCCACGGCTGCCCGCCCGCCAGCGGGAATTTGGGGACGGAGCACAGGAGGTGCTGCCTGGCATGGCCAATCCCTGGGGACGGGCGAGGAGGGAGACCGCCGGGAAGACCCCAAGGTCATCCCAACCACCTTCAGATGGTTCCTTCTCACCTCCGGGCAGTCGCTGGAGGCGATGCGTGGGGGACATGCTTCCTCGCTCAGTGGCTCGATGACGGTCACCTCGGCAAAGTCCTCCACCGACTCCTGAAACTCCGGCAGGGACCGGCGGCCGTAGCGTTTGCCGCCTTTGATGTACTTGGGCTGCGCTTCTGGGGAAGAATCTGTGAAATTCAAGAAGAAAGCGCTTGGGTAACGTGATTTTTGCAGCTCCCAGGCCTAGTGTGGTTGCAGCTCTTTAAGCACCAAATTGCCAACAGAATTCCCCCCAGCTCTTTTCCAGGACCGCTACCCTCACCGTGGCATCAAGCCTGATGGGTTGGAATCGGTCCTGCTCAAAAAAATCAAATAAATAAATAAACTGTTGCAAATTAGACTCAGAGATTCATCTTCACCTTTTCCCAATTCCCAGATTAAATTTGCTCTGTTAACAAAGATGTGGAAAAAGAAGCCTCAACCTTGCAAACAGCCTTGGATGGAAAGTCCATTAGGTCTCTCCTCCTTGCGCCGATCCTCGTTACTGGCGATGGGCAGGTTTAATTAGGGACAACGCTGCGCTTTGGCAGCTCAAGACTCCAGGTTACACAGACACTTGGGCGACCCCTGCTCCTTTCGCTGGATTTAAATCGTCCCTCCATTAAAAGCGTGAAAACAAGCGGGCGAGTGGAAATAAATAAATAAAACTGGGCAAGTTTGGAAGCAAACACCTCTCGAGGGCCGGCACGAGCAGCTGATCAGGGTGATGGCGAGGCAGGTCCCGGCTTGTGCTGTGCAACTAATGCCAACTGCAAGATCTAAATAACCCTTTAGAGTCATCATCTAATTACAGGGGGGTGCTCTGCTCACATTCTCCAGCTTCGCCGCAGCAAGCTCCTGCCTTCGGGGACTGAATTATCTGGGAGCACTCGCAAACAGGGATCAAAACAACAAAAAAAAATAAGCACGTTTCAGGCTTTTTTCGGTGAGAATCATCCAACGTCTGGAGCAGGGTGAAAATTAAACAGAGGACCATATTAACCAGGGATTCAATTAGGGAAAGGCTCTCTTCCATGCTTTGTTTCAGCGTTTGCTAACCTTACCATTGAAACCCCCTCGGGACTCGATCATCTTTATTTTCTGCCACTTGCAGAGGCAGCAGCAAGAGCAGCAGCTTTTTAAAATTTTATTTGCAGAGCGCTCTGGTTCAAAATAAATGCAAGAGTGCAATACTAATAAGGAGCAGGGAAGCTGTTCAATCAGACAAATGGTCTCTAAACCACCCCCACCCCGCTCAAACGCCTCCTTGGATAATATTCCTTTAGATACGGAAGAAGGCTTCAAGCTTGTTAGAGGAAAAATATTCTGCAACTTAGCTATGCAATGAATTATAAAATACACGGGACTAGGAGTGCTTTGATTCCTCCAGCCCTGCGCTCCATCCATCCATATTGCAGCTCTAGGGAACAAACCCGGCGCCCGTGTTTGAACAAGGCCATTTTAACAAGATTTGCTGCAGCTGGGACTCGCACATGAAAGTTGTGTGATGAAGTGCGCCGATAGAAAAATCGCAACGAGACAGGCTGATTAAGTAAGAGCCCGAGAACAAAAGCAAACCTTATCGCTCCTATTAAAGCCTGCCCGGTGGTGAACAATCTCTATCGAGCAGCTCTCTCTGAAATGCTAATATTTGTGGCTACTCATTCACCCATTTATTTTCTATGCCCCCCCCCCCCCCCCCTTGCAGGAGAGGGCTGGGGGGCTTTGTTTGTTCGTTTTGTGGGGGGGATTTTTGTTCGTTTTCTTTTTTTTTTTTTAGAAATAATTTTTCCTCCTCTAAGACAGAAGCGCACCTCTGCACCCATCTGTCTTTTGAAAGATGCAGGCGGGTGGGGTGGGGAGAGGGGGGTGGTGAGGAAAGAAGCCGTAATTTAGCAGTAATGAAGCTATGGCTTAATTTCCTGCTGGATTTCCCAATGCTCAGAAGAGTCTTGTTTCTAACCACTCCAACAGTGTGTTTAACTACTGAAATCCAACTGTATATTGAAACGTCTGTGTCTTCAGGCTCTGCCACCTTGCAAACCCTTTAACAGCAAGCAGGGGGAAATGGGAGCATCTCCCCAGTTCTGTGGTTTAGGCTTTTGGAGGCTGGCAGCTGATTTCTCCCTTTTATTTCAGTCTGAACACCTGGCTCTGCCTTTGCAATTAAAACAAAACAAAACAAAAACCTGCAAAGCCCGAGAACATCCCTCCGGGGAGGGAAAGGCGACCCTTCACAGTTTGAGAAGAGCCCCATGAACCTTCATCCCCAGACCGGATGTGCCTGGATGCCTCTCATACAGTGCAGAATCCTCTAAACCCCTTCACTCTCCTGCTTTCCCAACCCAAAATCCCAGCACAGCAGCCGGTGCCCTCGATGTTCCCATCATTTAGGGCAAGCTGCGCACACGTGCCAGCAAAAAGCAGCAACCTGCGCTCCACGAGTATTAAAAAAAAAAAAAAGCCAAAAATCAAGTTTCTCACTTCTAGCCAAAACCAACGAGGAAGGATGCAAAGAGCTGCTCAACCCACATGTGCTTTCAAAGGCACACGAGGAAAACGTGAGGGAGATGCAAAAAAAAAAATCAGTGCTTCCCGTGAGGCAAATGCCTGCCAGACAGCCCGGTGTGCTATTTATCCCAAATCCTGTAAAATACACCCCTGCATCAAACACCAAGGGGAGGCTGCTCTTGCCGGAGCCTGACCTCTGCAACCGGTGGCGAAGTGAGCCAAGAAAGGGGGCGAAAAAAATAAATAAGACGAGAAAAAGAAAATAAGTCGAACCCTGCCTGCTTCCTACAGCCCTCGGCAACGTGCGGGCTTAGTAAAACACACACTCCAGAGCTGGCGCCTAATTAGACATCGGGGTCTGATCTGCCTGCTTTCAACTGCCCCGGGGCCAGGGGTAAGAGCAGAAACCACCGAGAGAACAAACCTCCCACCGCCCAGGGGAGTTTGTGGCCCCTAAAGTGCCCCCGAAAAGTCTCACATCCTAAATCTGCGTTTCACAAGAACAGTCCCCGTTCCAATCTAAGTGCTACAGGCAGAAGCCCTCAATTCCCTGGCTCGCTCCCCCTCCCCGTCCATCGCAGCAGTTAAACGTCGCCATGGTTGGAGATTTACACTTGATTTTCTGCCTTTCTGCGCTAGATAAGTAATTTCAAAATCCTGCTCTGCCCTCAGATGCTTGAGGAGGGGAAGGTGGGGGCTCCACTTGATGGGAGCAGCATTTTCCTGGGCCCAGCATCAAAGCCATCGAGCGCAGACAAAAGGGGTTTTAGAGCAGGAAGACCCTTGCTCCTCAAGCCGGTCGTTTAGAGGCGAAATTAATTTCCTTGCCACTTAAGATTTGGAAGGGAGGGCTGCTCATCGCGGCGGCAGACAGCCTGGTGCCAGGCAAAGCGCATCGGAGCCAGGATCTGCTAAATCCTAATTCTCTGAGACACCAGGTACTGCCTAAACTCCCACCAAATCCCTATTTCACACTCTGGGCTCAGCAACCAAGGTGGAGGGGAGCGGCGGCTGCTGGGGACCCTGTCCAAGGCATCACAACCAAAACCTAAGCAATTTTGGCCCAGAGGCATTGCCTGCACCTAAATCACCTGATGGAGGCACCAGTTTTGGACTTGTCCCCCCCTCCAGGTGTGCTCAGGGAGCAGGAACCAGAACCTCTGCACTAACACAAGGAACATTTCCCCCAATGGGTGCCATCCCTGCAAGGGCATCATCCCACCAGCTCTTCTTTGGGAGGGCAAATCCATGCGTTGGGATGAAAAAAAAAAAAAAAAAATTAAAAAAACCCCAAACAACCCCAATGGCCCCTCGTGACCGCAAGGAGGATGGCGTCAAACCGCTCTCTAATTTGTCCTGGGTCTTCCCGTAATCCCACACTCCACCCCAGTAATCCCTCCCTATCCAGGCTTCCGATGCACAGAGCTGACTTTTTTTGCCATAATGGGGAGGGAAAAAAAGCCCGATTATCTTCCCCCCCTACTAATCACCCCCATAAGTGATTATTATTACTATTATTATTTTTTAAACCTACTTTGTGTTGTCCCCAGACCCCCTCCTCACTGCTACAGTGACCTATGGACAAAAAAGCATCAGAACCAGCCTGGGGAGCTCCCAGTAGCCCCCCAGCCGTGCAGCACCACCTTTTTAGAGCACCAAACCCCAGTAATTTGGGCTGAAATTTATCCGTACACACCGTGTGGCTCCACAAAGACCCGAGAGCGGTGCTGGGGGTGAGGGGTCTCCCCGGCAGGCACACTCCACCTTGTGAGAACTAAAATAACCACTAAAATAAGCTCTATTTTAAGACACATCGAGGCCTTTTTCTGCTTTTTCCAGAGTGTCTTTCCCCTCCATTGCTCTGCCCAGCAGCTTCTAGGCAGAGATGGGGTTTGCCCGGCTGATGCTCTGGCTCACAGCTGGGTCTGTGACCCCACATCAACATCCTCAAGGGGACAGAGCTGATGACGGCAGCGCTGGGAACTCTGCCTGCTCTGGTTTTCAGGGCTGCTTCCCAAGCAAAGAGCCCGCTGTACGTCAGGACTGTCCTCCCTGTCAGCCTTCTCTTCAGAAAGGGAATTCGACTTGCTTGCCAAGAAAAAAAAACCACAACAAAAAATATGTATCAGCTGCTCTCTGCAAGCCCAAACGCCTCTCCCACCTGCTGCTTCTCCGCTCACTGTCAAAAAACAGGGAAACCCCCGTCAGCCACTTCTGCAGGAACTGCTTTTGCATCCCGCAGCAGTTTTGGTTCCTCATCCCCAGCCCTGGGTCTTGCATGACCCCAGGGGCTGTCCCATCCCCTCCGAGCTGGCCTGTGCCCATGGGGACAACGATGCTGTCCCCTACATTCCCCCTCTCCGCCTCCTCAGGGGCTGCAGGGGTTTGGAGGGCAAAGACACAAGCTCCTCCCGTTGCTCACCCACCAAAGGGACCTTCCCATCACCCAGGGGTAAAACCACAGCATCGAGGCACACGGCTGCTTCCTCACAGAACAACCTCTGCAGATGCAGCAAACAGCCTTAAAATCTCGTGGGTTTGTGGGTTCCCCCCCCGCCTCCAATTAATTTTCATTTAAATGATACAATTTGGAGCTCTTAACTCAATTTTCCCCCAAGCCCGGGGCAGGCTTGTAACACCAGCATTTCCACAGTCACTGACAGTTTGACACCAACAGCACAAAAGCAGCTTGTTCTCCAAATCTCAAGTTTGATCTAAATTAAAAGAAGCAAAAAGACTTTGGCGTTAACCGACCTGTCAAAACGCATTAAAAAATAAATGTCTCCCAGGCCTGCCCAGCGCAGGCTCCCTACCTGCACCACATGCCCTTTGATTACCTGCCATGCAAAACCCAGCTGACAAACGTGTCCCCGAGGAGGGCTCTCCAGCTCCTACGCAGCCTCTTGCCGGCTGCAGCTGTAATTTCCCCCACAAAACCCCCAAATTTAGCCCTTTCCGGAAGATTTATTTAAATACAAATCAAGCCAGAGCTTCTCAGCCATATGATTTTTCCCAATAAATGCAGAGTGCTGGATTAGTTCTGGTTCGCTGGGGTGCCAGGGCTGCCCCCTGCGCTGTGCAGGCTCCTCTCCAGGGGGCTGGAAGGGATCGTAGAAGACCCCCTGACCCCTCGCCAGGCACCGGCGAGGTTCCTCCCTCGCTCCCGAGCACCCCTTGACCCACATCAGAAAACTGCATTAAGGGACGCCGTGTGCAAGAGCTGTCATCTCCCCTCTCCCTCGAAGCATTAAGGGCTTCAGAAATGACGGGGTGGAAAATAAAACCAATGCATTGATTGCATCTCTCGAGCCCTCAAGTTTTTGCAGCCTATTGAAGCGGGAGGAGAGTTGTGATTTGGCTGACAAGTGCGGGATGCTCCAGCCAAGATGGGTATTCCAGGAAAGGAAACCTGGAGTTGTCCCTCTCCCCCCTTGCTAAGCTGTTTTCTCCGTCGGGGATTTTGTGTCTCCGCTGCTCCAAAGGCAGGATTAGGGATTTACATACAGGTGGGACACGCAGCAGAACTCCAGCTGGAGCCCAGCCCTTATCCTGGCCCCACACCTCCCCAGTGCTCCCAGCCCTTCATGCACCCCTAAGAAAGGCCACATTTTTCAAGGCACACCAAAACAAAGCAAGTTAAAAACAGGGCAGTGAGGACTTGCAGCACCTGCTGCTTTCTCCAGCCAGCCCCAACTCCGTTTGTTGGGGGATTCATCCTGTTCAGGAGCACCTTTGGGCCAGACTGACTGTCCCCTGGGAGAAATACAGACACCTTGGGGGAGGTTCCGACAGGACCGAGCTCACCCCGCTTGTCTCAGACAGAAGGAAACAGAATGGACTTAAAAAAAACCAACCCAAAAATCAGAGCTAGAGAGGAGGGGTATTTCTGTGTCCAGCACCCCATCACCAGGAGGAGCTCTTGCAGAGAGCTTCCCCTCGTAACCTTCAAAAAACCAGAGCAGCCAAAAAGTCAGCATGGGTTTTCGGTGAGGCCCTGCTGTTCCCCCCAGGCAGATCCCACCGCAGAGCTCACCGCTGCCGGGGCTGCCGCCAGCTCAGCCCGGAGCGGAGGCTCCCCCGGGGCAGAGCTCGCAAACCCTCCTGCCAGGCTGGAGCTTCTGCGCCTGCGTCGCACCACCTCAGAGCCAAAGAGCTGGTGGGGAGGGTGTGGGGATGTGCCAGCCCCAGCCGGGGAAAAAAGGCAGCAGCATTAAAGTAGCCGTTTGATTGTCTGCCCATAACCATCGGCTGCAGCTAGAGAGCTCCTAAAGCCTCCCCGGCCACCAGAAACATTGCAGCATAGAGAGACCTCAGCCCATTTAGTAGCCCTGGGACAGATCAAGCATCTGAGGTGCCGTTAGCTGTCTACATGCAGAGATCACGTGCCCCGCTGGGCATTTAGATCACGGTAATGGGATGTAAATATCTAATAGCTCAGAAAACGCTTTTATACAAAGCTCTGCAACAAACCTTAACTCTCCCTTCTCCCAAGGTCTGGGCAGCTGAGCAGAAGAGCTTATCTCAGCACCTAAAAAAGCACCTTCTCTTCTTAGTTCCTCTATGAAAGCCACCCACGTCTGGTTTGCCAAAGAAAATGTATTACTTTAAATACGTCTTTTATTTACCTGGTTCTTGGAAGTGCTCTTCATTTGACAGGGTTCTGGATAGGATGAGGATAAGTGCTTCTTTAAATTGATCAAAGTGAACCTGTGGAAAAAAGAGGAAGAGAGAAGGAAATCAATTGGTGCAGGTAATTAAATACCAGGCCAATAATCCAACAGGCAGGCGAGCAGCAATGCAAATCACTCAAACCACCAAGCATGCCTGTGTCTGCAGACAACCTCAGCAAAGGACACAAGATGAACCTCAGGTCATTCAGTTTTGGGGCCTTGAGAAACAATAGCAGGCAACGTCAAAGCCCAGTCAGTGTCTTTGAGCACATGGAAAAAGCGATTGCTATCGCAGAATGACTCAAATCCACTGCTTTAATGCATTGGTTGGGTTTTTCCATGGAGTAAGAAGCTGAAATAACATGGCCAGAAGACCAGAGAGCATCTCCATCACTTGAGATGACCTGATCAGGGTCAGCAGCTTCTACAGGGAGATACCAGTCCTGTCCAGTGATGGGATACTCCATTGTGGAAATGCTCGCTTGCCCTAATTAAGCTTCAGAAAACGATGTTTCCAAAGCAAATTGCAGAAAGTTGCACCCTTCCCAGGACAGTCCTGCCCCAGCTCCTGCCTGCTGCAGGTCCTCAAGAGGCTGGACTGGAAATACCAGGTCTGGAGTGTGGCTACGGGAAAAAACAGGAGGGATAAAAAAAATTAACCGCAGCGGTAGGATTATCTCCCCCTTTTCCATCTGCATCTTCCTGGAAAGCCTCCTGCCTCCCCCCTCCAAGAACAGTTGCAAAGGATCTGCAGCATCCTTCACAGCCATGCTGGGGAATGTCAGCGATTCCAGCCGTGGGGGACAGAAACCCAGGAACAGCTGGGGAAGCAATTTGACATGGGTCAGTGGCCAGGCAGTGCTGGCTGCTGCTATTTCTTTTGGCTAAATAAATCTTGGGATAATTTTTAGCACCGAACGAGAGATTTTGCATTTCAATAACCCGCCGAGGTTGCTCTCACTGGCAGAGTGAACTGCTGCGAACACAGCACCAAGAGCAGGAGCCGCACTCAGAGGGGATTTTAACATCACTGGATGAGGCACAAGCAGCAAAGTCAAGGTCTGAAGTTTGCCCAGCTCGTTCTCAGGGTTGAGCTAGCCCAAAAAAGAGCTATGTGCTCCCCGGCAAGCAGGGGACAACAGCAGAGCTGGGGGCTCAGCCTCCCCACCGCGCAGGGGAGCACCTCACACAGCAGCTCAAGCGGTGCAAATCACCCCTGCAGTTTTAAACACAGGCTCCCCGAGTAATTAAACAGTTAGAAACATGTTCAGCAAAGAAACTTGTCAGGGATGCCTTCATCTGAATACTAATTGCTGCCATTCATTTCCAAACACTGGTGTACTTCAGAAGGACAGTTTACCGAGATAGGAAAATTTGCCTGATTAAAAAAAAAACTTGACATTTAGACTAAATGAGGATGAATAAAAGATGAGGGCGTTCGAATAACAGGTCCCCTCTCTGCGGGATCTTCTCGGGAAGGGAACAGTGACAACAGCCACGGCGACAGACAGAGCCGGTCACTCAGACGGGTGGGTTCGGATGGGACCTGAGGTCCCAGCAGCGAGAAAATAAAAGTCACTTTTGCATCACTCGTGCAAACACACCAAACGAGAGGGCAGAGTCAAACCACCTGGGGAAGGTGGTTTTGCTGACACGGAACCTGCTCTGCCTAACGAGCCCCGTAACTTGTGTTTGCCAAGAAGCACTAACGAAGGGGAAGAAGGCAGAAGGGGGGGTGGAGGGGTGGACCCTCGCTGCCGCAGCTGCGTGCAGGACAGATGGCTCCGACATCAAGGCCGCAGAGCGATTTTACCATGACGGTGACATCCAAAGGAGCCCACGGAAGATTAGGCTGCGGGGCAGGAGGCGGCCATCCTCCAGCCGCCCATGCCAGCACCGCGGTCGGCTGCGCACCAGGATTTAAAATGCAAATCAGCAGCCCAGAGACCCGACTCGCACAGGCACAAGAGGAGTCCCGCGACGCTTTCTGAGCAGCAGCACCCATCTCTGTAGGGAGGGGGATGTATTTTTCTTCAGGGAAACCTTCCAACAAGAGATAAACAGGAAAAACTCTCCATGGTCCATGTTTGACCTTGGCTGCTGCATGTCTGTGCACGGCATGCTTTAGAATTAGAGAAATTACAGAATCACAGAATGTTCAGAGTTGGAAGGGACCTCAAAAGATCATCTAGTCCAGCCTCCCTGCCAGAGCAGGATCACTTAAGCTGCGCTCAAGCTGCGCTCAAGTACAAACCAGACAAGGCAGCCTGTGGGACAGCAAAGTTACGGCGTCTCATGTTTTAAAGAAAGCAATCCTTTGCTGCTGCTCCCCAGCAATGCCACCTCACTCTCTACCCAATTTCAATGCCAGTGCACGCAGGGGCAACAAGCATGCCCAGGATACACAGAGCACATCACACAGCACCCCACAACATGTGTGCTCAGCAGCCACACAACCCCAACACCCACATGCTGTCAGGCAGGGTCACCCTCCTGCCTGGAAAGCCCGTGGGCTCCCCACGAGTTCAAGGGGCGTTTTCGGGGATGTGGGCAGGCACAAGTCCGCAGCAACAGCGGTTTGGGTTTTGGATGATTTTGGAAATGCCAACTCGCACATCTGCTCACGGAGGCTTCAAACAGCAACCCAAGGGCTGATCCAAGCCAGCCTGCACATAGCGGAGTTTGGGAGACAACAGCAGAGCACAGAGCACGGATGGGACACGTGTCCCTGCAAACAACACAGTGAGACCAGGGCTCCGCACAGTGCTGGGAGCCCGTCGAGCCCCTCATGAGACAAATTTTCCCAGAATAAGTAAATCAGCCTGAAACAAGACTCATATGCCAACACAGGCATAACAAGCCCAGCCCAGCTTCCCCACGGTAATCAGAGACTAAGCAAGCTGCCAGCTGCTGAGCAACCCCAGCACCTTTGAGAAATCTTGACGCCTGCTTTAAAGCAAGTTTCCTATGAAGCTGTGACTTATTAGCACTAGAAAGGGAACATGCCTGTGCCAGGCTACCTGCTGCCTCTCGTTACTGGTCCCTGCAATGCAAAGCAGCAATGTGCAACCCCGGTCTCTCTGGGGCAAAGCACCATCGGTGGCTCCTTCCAGCTCCTTCTCCTTGATCTTCCAGCAGAGTCCTTTTCCCAGAGCCCCATCCCTGCCTGCAAACTCCTTCCAGCAGCAGCCAGAAGGTTGCAGAGGGAAATGCTGAGCAGGGAAGACATTAGGAACAGGGCAACCTTGCAACCAAAGTCTCCTGCCTGGCACACAAAAAAGCCACCGCACGTTATGGGGAGCAACGTCACAGCGGGCTCAGAGGGAGTATATTTGCAAGAGGTCACCGGCCCAAGCACTGAAAGGAGCTGACGAGTGAAACCCCACGCCGCAGTGCCCTTGCTGCAGGCTTGCTAAGGCAATAGCACCGGGGCAGGGTGAAACCTGAACTCCCCGTCCCTGCTCGAGGACAGCGTGAAGGACAGTCCTTGCGCAGGGTCCGGAAGTGCCCGACCTACCTGCAAATCATTTAACCACGGTCACCGGCTACGAGCACCATCCCTGAGACACCACTTGGTGTTAGTTGCTAATTAACAGGCTTTGCCTCTCGGGGGTCAGAGGAGCATCCTCTCGGTGCTACGGCCAAGCGCAAGGGGCTTGAGGAAACAGCCTTCCCAGGGAATCCCAGGAATTGCTGCGAGCCTCGTCTCAGCATGCATGAGGGAAACGGTTCTGGGCTGGTTCGGCTCCGTCACGAGCCAGGGCAGGATTTACACACCCCTGCAGGACCCCGGAGATGGCGCATACCCGCTAATCTCCAAAGCATCTTGCAGAGCGGGGCCGGAGCAGGGGACAACACATCCAGCACCTTGCCAAGCTCAGCTCCTGGTCCGTGAGCAGCCACATCACAGTGCATTCATCCCCGGAGCAGATCCTCCAGCACAAAAGCAAGCACGTAGCCCCACCAAATTGCCCCTCAGCAGACAAAACCACGTTTCTCCCCTCCTGGAGGCTCTCCCCTCCCCAGTGCCCTCCCATAAAAATCCCAGCCCCTGGAAGTGCAGGCAAACAAAGGCTGCTCCCAGTGCCGAGAGGGACCATCTGCAGTGAGGAGCCGGCGGGGCAGGGGCGAGAAGCCTGTGCTTAGGGAGCAACATGTTTGCTGCTTATTCTCCCGACGAGCTCCCTAGGAAACCCAGGGGATTCAATAGCTATTAAGTCAAGCTCGCGCTTAGACGTGGGCTATTTCTGCCACTAGCGAACCGGGGAGATGGGAGGCAACGTAGGAGACAAGGACTATTCTGATGTCCAGGTGGCAGGTTGTAAGCGAGAACCATCCCCAAAGACAAAGGAAAGTGGGGAGGCTAAAATGAAAATGCTCGTCGTGCCCTGAGACAGCTCACAGGGATGGAACTCCTGGCTGGGATGCGGAAAGCACGACCCAGCACTCAGGATGCTTTAAAAGAGGCTTTTTGGGTTCTGTTGGGGCATTTACTGCGTTTAACTCCACTTTTGACCCCCTCAGAGCAGGCCACAGGGATGAGCACTGTTCCTTTAGCCTTGACAACGACACCTTTCACACTGCTCTTCCCTTCCCCACATCTCACCGCCGTGCAAAAGCCAGACTGAGCATCCGAGTGGCTGAAGCTCAAGACAGGCTCGCAGCACAGAAAGTCCCCAGCACTCGAGCAAATGCCACACTGCAACCCCAAAGGTAGGAAATCTCTGTCCAAATCCATCTGTGCTCCAGCATCGCTCGCTGACAGCAGAAGAGCTACAGCCCCAGGGCAGGTGAGGAAGAGGAGGCTTTGTTCGTTAAAGGAATTATTTGATTTTGTGAAATCTGCAGTCTGAAAGGAAATTGGAGTTGGGGTGGCTGCTTAGCTTATGCCTATCGAGAGCCCTGACCGCCCTGCCCCATGTTTTTTTATTTTAATGAGCAGGGATGGGATTTCAGGGTGATTTTGAGGGAAGCATCCAACACACTCCGAGCACAGCACAGTGCTGGGAAGGAGGCAACACAGGAGCAGAAGGACATCCATGCTGAACATGGAGGTCCCTCCAAGGGCAAGCAGCTTCTGCTCAACACCCTGGCATCAAACTCTATAAAGGTACAACCTTTGGAAAGCACGGGGTGCTCAGCTCCCTTCCATGAGCTGGTGGGACACTGCAGCCCCAAGGGAAGCAGCCATTTGTCCCCAAAACCCTGCCCCAGGTGGGTCTGTGACAACCACAGCTGTGTAGGGACACCAGGTAACACGGATAAAGGTGACTCAGCCAGCGACTGGGGGAGGTGGACAACGTTGTCTCTTTTAGAGGAACGTGCATGGCTGCAAGCAGCCCCACCGCTCTAACTACAGTTTAACGTAAATCACAGGCTCAAGTCCTGGGTTTGCGTCCCCATCGCACCCAAGTGCCTCAGAGTTTGTGCAAGCACCCGGTGAGCTGGTTCAGGGAGATGACCTAGGCCAAAAGCAGCACTAACCAGTGCTGGGGGGCACATGTCGCAAGCCCTGCAGCCCCAGAGCCTCAGGAAAGTTGGATACTCACAAATTACAGACGTTCAGCCTCTTTCCATCACCCTCCCGCACGTGCGGGTGCAGCTGCCTGGCACTGCTTTGCTCCCAAGATCCAAACCAACCCCATCACTCCCCACCGTCACCCCAGCCTTACCCTGCCTAGGAGGTTGCCTTGGAGGAGGGTCTGCTGCAACGCCGGGGCCACCTCTTCCAGATGCAGCACGTGGCAGAGGTCGGTGAGCTCCTCCTGTCCCAGGGATCCCGTACCCGTGCTGTCGAAGCTGTCGAAGAGCTCCTTGAGGCGAGCTTCATACTGGTCCTGCTCAGCTTCATCCATCCCATAGCCTGCCACGCTCACCTGCGGGGAGACACGGGGTCGGTGAGCATCGACCGCAGCACGCAAAGGCGAAAAGCCCCAAGGGCTTGGGACAGCAGTTTGCTGCAGAGTTTTGTTTGCCTTAAGTGAACCTGGTGCTCTGCCACCCCTGCAGCCCATTTCATCCCGCTGGGTGAAGCCAGAAGTTGCACAGCAGAAAGAACAAGGGGGGAAAAAAATTTAAAAAAAAATAAAAAAAAAGCTCGAAGGGCCAGACACCTGGCATGGGGACAGCCCAGCAGCCCTGGGTTCCACCTCCCTACGTGCCACCTCACACCAGCACCACAAGCAGCTCGTTCTGCTCAGCTGGAGCAGCCGAGGTGTCTCAGGGGAAAATTGTTCCCCCGAGCTGCCCTGGTCTCCAGGCATTGCTGGTGATGCTTTATCTGCCTTAGCGAGGGGATAAACAAGCAGCGCAGCTCACCAGCGGCAGGGAGCAAAGCGAGGGGAGGGCAGGAGATCCCAATGGCTGCCTCTCCCTCTACCCCGAACAACCCACTTCCATGAACACAAAACACATTCCTAAGCCAAACACGCTGCTTTTTATGCTGGCCCGGGGTGTAAGGAGCCCCAACGCACCGTCAGCCCTGTCTGTGCCAGGGTGCAGCATCCTTGCTTTCCTCCAAACCCCAGAACAAAGCCACACGGTGCCCTGCACTGGGCGAGGACTTGTGCCCTCTGGGTCACTGCCCAGTCCCACTCCCTGCACTGCTCGCCCTCAGGTACCTCACCCCAAACCCTGGCTGAAAGCAGAGAAGTGTTTCACAGGGCACACTGGTAAGGTGGCAGAAAACCCAGCCCTGGAGCAGATCCAGATGCAGCCCCAGCACAGAGACGGCTGACTGGTCTCCTGCACCAACAAACAAAACCAGTTTCTCCATCACTTGCCCACAGGCTTTGTCCTCCCCTCCAAATCAACAATTTTTCATCTTGCTCGTCACATCACAGCTCTAGGAACTGTTTGGGAAGCAAAAGTTCCTGTCCAAAATGAAGGATTTGGCCGGCATTTGCTTACCCAGCCCGGCCGCAGGGCTCCCTGGGGCAGCAGCAGCGTAACCCAGTGCCACCCCAGGGGACGTGCCATCACCCCAGCAGCACGACAGGCACCGCAGCCGTCGTGACCAAGGCACGTTGAGTGGCATTGCGTGGTCCCAGCACCCTAAGGACACAACCCCAGGATGCTCAGCCAGTCCAAGACTGTCACCCAAGCACCAGCCAGGTCTCGGTGGGAATTTCATTTTGTCCACGTTGCTGCAGGTTGTTTCAGGCAGATTTCCCAAAGCAGAAGGGTCCTACCCAAAGCCCCTTCGCAGTCCAGCTCTGCTATGGAGCAGCCATCTCCCCCCTCCTCCCTCTCGGCATCGCAGGGCCCCCACGGCCGCCTGTGTCACCCCTAGTGCTCACAGACATCCCAGAGGCAGCAGAGCTGTGAGTGCAGCCCCGTTTCACCCCCCTGCCCAGCACCGCAGCCTCAAGCAACGTGTCGTTCTTCCAGAACGCCGTGAGCTCACACAAGCGTCCTGTGGCAGAGGGGCAATCTGAAAAGCCTGTGCCACCAACGTGGCTGGGTAACTGGGAAATCTCCAGCGCAGGCACCGCATCTTTGATTTTGCTGGCCTTGGATGCCAAAGCAGAGCAGCATCGGGCTACCTGCAACCGCTGAGGGAAGCGGGGCTGGTGCCAATGGTCCACAGAACAGACATGGCCCAGCCTGGCTGTCCTTCCTCCCACATCAACACCAGCAAGGATGGCAGCATCGCCAGACTTTGAGAGAGTGGACACAAATCCATCCCCATATACCTGCCCCGAGCCTCCACCCTCGGTGCCCCCTGCTTTTTTCCCCTCCCGTCCCTCCCAGATGCCTCTCAAGCTGCTTTAGCAAAGCAGGGAGGATCGAGGGTGCAGAAGACGTGTTTGCATTCAACCCAGGGCGCAAAGGAGGAGCCAGCACCCAAAAAACTCGGGTGCCTGCAAGCAGAAAAAAAGGCAGCAAACTAGTTTCCATTCTCACGCCAGCAACCTCATTC